GGGGCCGCGCCAGACCCTAGCAGTCGACGCCCGACGGCCGAGCGCCGATCGCATCGAGTCCTTTTTGCCCTCTCCCTTGCCTCCTGGAAAGGCATAACATGGGTTCGACGTTCGGTAACAATGCCTAAATCTCATGTCTTCTAGCAGTTCACTTAACTTACCCTCTAATCACTAGCCAAGGACAGAACCGTTTCTCAGAGGTAGCTGCTGATAATTGTTTCACAACCCCCTCCCCAGCTTGCTCTTACTAATTAGCTTTTCTGTTTCAAATCTTTTCCTCCACTCCTAAGACTCAGGTTAACCCAATTAGCCCTTTGTGACCTTCGTGACCCAGGCAGACCCCACCAGTATGGCAACAATCATGTGACTAACCCACCCATCTGCCTGCTGTCCATCACCTGACATCAGTACCTGGGCTTACCTGCCCCTCCGTGATGACACATAGGCCACCACCCAACCACCTTAACGGCCTGCCCCCCTCAGAAGGGAATAAACCCTGGCAGCCATTCTCCATTACGTTGCTAAGCTATAGTGTGGCCATCTGCTCTTTCAGCCATGGCCAGGCCATGTTTTCTTAAGCTTTGGCCACCTCGCCTACCTTGGGGAGGCGAATCTCTCTCTCTCTCTCTAATTTACTTTCTAAATAAACTGTATTCTCTAATCTTACTTCTGTGCAATCATTTGTATCTTTCATGTGACAATGGAAGACACCCCAGACACCCACATCAGGTGGGCCTGGCCTAACATTCTGGAGGCCCTGCTGGGAGTGTGACCTAACGCCTACCATCTGATCAAGTGTCAACTTCTTTCTCCTAGGAGCCTTCCTAGTTCCTATCCCACAGGAGTTCTTGCCCAGACCATCTTGCCCCCCCCCCCCAGTGTGCACACTTCCTTAACAACACACTTTTGTATCTTTGAACCTGTCAGATTGCTCATCAGACTGTGACCTCTTTGGAGAACTGATATTTTCCGTTTTGGATCCTGGACTACGGGTCAGCGCCTGGCACACGGCAGACATTGTGTAGGCATCTTCTCTTCTGTGAGGACGATCTTCTCTCTCTTGCCATCTCCATTCCTTATTTCTCATTTCAGCTCCTCCTGTACCCCTAAAGCTCTTTTGAAATTGATGACTTCTGGAGTTCTGGCTCCATACTGCATCAAACATATGAAGTTATACCCAGACCTTATATTAAATTATTTTTGTTGTAAGAAAATATTTCAAAAAATTGCACTTGAAAATTTTTAATCCGAACTAACTTGTGTAATTTATAATTAGCTGTGATTTCTTAGCATCTGTAAATGATCAGAGATTCTTGTGAAATAAGAAACCTAATATCAAATTGCTACAAATGTAAAATGTGTATAAAATCCTAATTTAACATGTAAATGAAGTTGATATGTTAATTTTGAAGATAATTAAACATTTATCCATTTCAGTTTTGCAATTTTCTTTTTATATTTTGGAATATATATGTGTGGATGATTTTTGCAAGTTTGTAGGCTTTAGACCTTAGGCGTTGGGGCAATAAGCCCCATGTATGAAATTACCCTGATAGAGAGTTCACAGACTTGAATTGACAAGTTGTCAGGAGACAAAGCTGTAAACATCTTAAGGTAATAATTATCTAATTGGAGGAAATGGTAATAAGAGTAACCACAACTAGTAAGAAGTGAGTAGGACTAAATAATTACTAAGTTTCTGAGGCTACTCACAAAACCCAAGAACCCAAAAGACCACAATATTGCAGGACCTAGAGGGTCTGAGTTTGAGACCAGCCTGGGCAATATAGCAAGACCCCATCTCTTAAAAAAAAAAAAAAGTTGGGCATGGTGGTACATGCCTGTAGTTCTAAGTACTTGGGAGACTGAGGTGGAAGGATTGCTTGAGCATAGGAGTTTAAGACTGCTTTGAACTATGATTGTACTGCTGCACTTCAGCCTGGGCAACAGAGCGAGACTCTATCTCTAAAGAGAGAGATATTAATACATAGCTTAAGGGGGGAGTGGGACATGATTGCTGGCCTCAGTTGAACGTCCCTCGGGACCTGATCATCTTAAAGGACTTACATTGCTCAGATAAAAGTTATTTTCTAGCCAGGTGTGGTGGTTCAAGCCTGTAATCTCAGCACTTTGGGAGGCTGAGGCAAGAGGATTGCCTGAGCCCAGGGGTTTGAGACCAGCCTGGGCAACATAGCAAGAGCTCGTCTCTACAATAAATAAAAAAATTAGCTGGGTGTGGTGGCGGGTGCCTGTAGTTCCAGCTACTTGGAAGGCTGAGGTAGAAGATTGCCTGAGCCCAGCAGGTCGAGGCTGTGGTGGCCATCAGCATGTCATTGCACTCTAGCCTGGACGACAGAGGGAGATTCCAACTTTAAAAAAAAAGTTGTTTTCTTTTCTTAGAAAGTAACAGAATACATGTCCTCTGTAAAAGCCAAATGCCTGACCAAACAGCCTGCAGACATGCTGCTGGATCTCTACTATAACACCGAGGCAGGGCCCCAGATTGCTAGATTTGAGTTTGGCTTTGGAGTGGGAGCCACAGAGACCAGAAAGAAGAAAAGGAAACCACTAGCTGCGGAGAGGAATGAGAAAGCAGAAAGGAAGAGAGGAAAAGGAAGAAGGGAAGAAACTTCCCATGGCAAATCCATCTGCAAGTCAAATTTCCAAAACATATGAAAAAAATCATCTAAAGAAGACAACAAAATCAACAACCAAAATGTGAAATCACCGCAAGCAAAATGAAAGCAGTAGAATAGTCCACAGGAAAACAGGAAAATGAGAAGCCATTCCTCAGCTAAAAAAAGATGGGTGATAGAAAACAAAACAATTTTTAACAAGAATTCCTTTTTTTTTTTTTTTTTTTTTAGTTGGAGTCTCACTCTGTAGCCCAGGCACACTCACAGGCTGGGCTCAGGCGATCTTTCCATCCAAGCCTTCCAAGTAGCTGGAACTATAGGTGCACGCCACCACGCCTGGCTGATTATTTCTTTCTTTATTGTAGAGACACAGTCTCATCAATGCCCATGCTGGTCTCGAATCCCTGGGCTCAAGTAATCCTCTTGCCTCCACCTCCCAAAGAGCTGAGATGACAGGTGTGGGTTACCACGCCTGGCAGTTTTTCCCTTGCATAAAATGTATGTACATTTTTTTGGTAGTCCTCTGTATTAAAAGACTCCATTCCTGTCTCCTTTACACCTGCAATCCTGATGAGATTAAAAATAGCTCCCCTTTCCCTCCCAAATGACATGACAAAATATATAGCCATCCCACCCAATATGTTTTCATGAATTCCTTTTCTACTTGAACTGGTCAGAGTGGTCTTTGAACTTGGAGCTAAGAACATGCCTGATGCTATACACGCCTGATGCTAAGGCAGCTCCTTAGAGTCAGACTCCTCCTTTCATCTCTCATCTTTCCTGTGTTCTTATCTTACTTTTACACAAACAGGCTGTTAAATGGCCATTGCACAGGCTTTTCTTTCTTCCTGAAATGCTCTTTTTTTTTGAGTTGGAGTCTCACTCTGTCACCCGGACTGGAGTCCAGTGGCATACTCCCGGCCACCGCAGCCTCGACCTGCTGGGCTCTGGCGATCCTTCTGCCTCAGCCTTCCAAGTAGCCGGAACTACAGGCATGCGCTTCCACTCCTGGCTAGTTTTTTATTTATTGTAGAGACAAGTTCTCATCAAGTTGCCAGGGCTGGTCTTGAACCTGCGGGCTCAGGCATTCCACTCGCCTTGGTCTCCCAAAGTGCTGGGATTACAGGCTGAGCCACCAAGCCTGGCCCCAAAATATTCTTTTCTCCAGCGTCCATCTGGCAAACACCCTCTTCCTCACTTTATTATGCCCTACCTTCCTCTATTGTAGCCCTTAGCCTCATGTAACAATTTTACTTAACTTCTTGGATTTGTTCTTTGAGATCTCTCTGCCAATTATCTGTAAGTTGCTTCAGAGGTGAGGCTTAGTTTCATCTGAGTTTAGCCTAGTACCTGCCATACGGTAAGTATCAACAAGCATGTATTGAAAACTTTGTATGCATGAGTGTAAAATCGCACTTTTCACAGAAAAACAATTAAACGTATTTATTATTATTACTGATTTACAGTGTGGTTTTAGTGGTCGGCTACTAAAGTTTCATTCTTTGAAGATTTTCATTTGCAGGTCTTGACTTTC